CCAAAGCAGTTTCAAAGCACTGACTTATCTGCCACTGTACCTGACCAACCCAGCATCCAGTACAAATTTACCATAAATTCCAACTTTCAAGTTGTAAACAGGAGCATGATTCATACTTCTTTTTTTTTTTTTTTGTACCTTTACACCCAGATCTTAGACATGGGATACAACTGGAAATGAAAGATAATAATCTGATTCATCAAACACTCCTGACAACTTCCATGACAGGAAATGTAGTTGATGTTGGCAGCTTTAAGGCAAACTTTGCAACTTGCCCAGAGTAACATAAATTTAAACCAATTGTGAAATTTCTCTGCTTAAAAATTCCTAACTTTCAGGCACCTGTTCAGCACAATATATCCCAGAACTACTTTTTCTCCCTGCGTGCAGTACATATTCATGTCTACACACATAAAATAAAAAATGGCTATAGCTCCTAAAGCCTCCAACTGGATAAACATTCCCAAACTAATTTGTTTTGCATGTTAGCTCTTCTGCACATTTGTGCCTGCCCTATTTAGCTGCAATGAACATGGCCCAATGAGGCAATCAGAGCTGAGAGCCATTGCTGCCTACATCCCACCCAGGGCCTTCTGCACTCCCTGCCTCTTTCAGAGAGCCCTTGGCTCAGGAAATATGGCAACAAACCCTAAAGTTCTGCTGTACTTGGCAAAACATACATGACAGAATCATCCAACAAGGTGGAAATTTGCTCAAAGATAGATAATAATAATAATAAAAAAATAAAATCAAAGGACCTTAAAGAGTTAGCCATTATGCTGTTCAGTCCCCAAAGGTGATACAGCTCCTCTCTTGTTCTAGATTTGTCACATCAATTTTTAAATACATTAAGTACTTGATATCTTAAATCCACTATACCTTATAGGTGTAGAAATAGAAAGGAATAGAAAGAAAGGAATAGAAAATATGAAATAAATTGTTGAAAGAACTTGGACATTATTCAAGAGTTTTCTGTCATGAGAGATTACCCTGATCACAATGCTGATAGACCTGGGCCCTGCAGCTTCCACCCAAAGTAAAGCTGAGCTGAGCTGCCAGAGAAATTCTACAGGAGCGAAAAACATCAAGGAAAACTCCAAGTAGTAGGTAATACAGTTTCCATAACATTTTTCAGCTCCCAACTGGTAGTTACTTTAGAGAATCTGAGGGTTCAGAAAGGTACCAGACTGTGTTTTAACTACTGTAATTAACAGAACACTTCTGGTCTATGCTTTCTAATGTTTAGATGTGAGATTCTAGTTGCAATTCTAAATTTCATGGTTTTTTAAGCATCAGCAGAGCCTTCTATTACTACACAGCTGGGCTGTGCTGAGCCACGGGCAAAATATTGTGGTTAGTAGGTCTTATATGTTCATTTATCTGATGACTAAGCTGAGATGTAATTTT